CCAAATGCTTTCTCCAGGATTTGTTCCGGAACATTTTCTTGAAGGGTCGGGACCAACTCTGGAAAACCCAGTGCCCAAAATATTTCCTCACAAAGTTTATGCGTTGAGCCAGGTAAGACGAACACTGCAGATTTCTATACAAGTTAATATAAGTCCAAAATTCTTAATAACTCTTAATTCGTATTTTTTTGATATCATAATTAATGTTGTTCCAGAATTATATCAAGCTGAAAGGCTCCTGGCTGTTTCTAAATAAACTAACAAGGGTCTTGGGAAATTCTGGACCACATAGTAATATATATTGGTTGCATAATCTTACTATTTATTACAAATAAATGGTTTCAATTTGGTATTAATACCACCCAGTGAATCAGCTTAAGTTCTATCTTTATGGTTTTACTTCATTTGAAGCTTAGTGATGCTGTTGAAGAGGGTTTCAGTACCACTGAAGATAAGGAAAATGCAGATCCTAACTTTGATGATGAACACAGCGAACCAATAAACTTTTGCTCCGGAGACATGCTACAAATTCACATCTCTGTACATCTCCACGACTATGTTGGACAGGTATGTGTTTCTTTGAGATCATAACAACAGGAATTAACCATGCTAAGACCATTATCAACTGAATTTCCCCTGTCATTTTATCACACATTGCTATAATGTCATATAACTTTGAAATGTACATTGATGACAAGTGTACTTATTGAAATGTGTTGCCAAACGTCTAACTGTGCATATAGATTACATTGACAGCTGTGATTCTTAGCACTGTTGGTATTCCACAATGTATATAAACTAAAACTTTGTACCGGTAGTATGGTAGTTCACGTCTCAGCAGACAATGGCATTCAAAGTGTCAGACAAAACCTGCCCCAACTGGTATCTCAGTTCAGACTGAACAGACAGGCGCTATTCTTACAACTGGAGAAACTCAAACTCGGAATCCAGAGACAGATGAGTTTGGCATCCAGGTGAACCGGCCTTGTTTAACTGTGGAAGACATGGAGACAGATGAGGACTTCGCATTTTACATTGGGTTACCAACTAAAGGTGTCTTCAGAGTGCTCTTTGAAAGTATTGAAGAGGTAAAAATAAAACAATACAACATCAAAGTTAAATGTGGAAGGCCGGAAAAATTGAGAATGAATTTTTCATGGTACTCATAAGACTTCGACTTGTCTGACATTTTGGTGTATAGTTCAGTAGCACTTTCAAGAGATTATCAGGGCGCGTGTCCGGTTTCCGTTTAACAATTAGTCCAAAATTAGATGATGTAAGGCGACCAGTTCTACAATCTGACCAAGCTGAATTTGATGACTGTCCTCTGGTAGAAATTTCCACTTGTTTTGCTTCCTCATCTGAAACTGACAGGGAACTAAAATATTTCTCAAACTGCTGGCAACACTCATTGCTTTGTAAATTAACGGTATCAATATACATGAAGTTAATGCTGTGCAGTTCAGGCAGCTGTATATTTTCCTTATCCTCCTGGGCTTTAGGGAAATTCAATAAAAAACCTGCCAGAGGATACTCTGCTGTTAATCTGTTCCTAGGTTTGGTTATGCCAATCATTGGTGCAGGTGCAGCCTGTTTCCGGGCGACACGTAAACTTCCCGGTATTCGTTTAGTCTTTTTCCATTCAAACCTCTGGAACTTAATATTTTCCGCTTT